ATTTCAGGGGTTGATGGAATTGCTGTCATCTTCATCGCTGGGGCAATGACACACTACACACATCTGTCAGAGCTCGCAGGACTGTCCGCTAAAAAGGGTGGATCTTGCTGTAGGTAAATTATACCTTAACAGAAACAACCAGCGGCCTTCTCTGCTGGTGCATAAGCAGACTTTCTTGGAAGGACACACAGCTGGAAAGTGGCTGCCTCTGGAGCAGAGGAAATGAGCTTGGAGGCAAGGAGACTTTCTGCTGTATGTTCTTTGGGTCTCTTTTTACCCCACGTGTGTATTTCCTTTTCCAGAATTTAAAAAAGAGATATGTTTACAAATAAACCTGTAATAATGAGCCAAGACAACTGCAAAGTTTAAAAGTGGACACATCAAGGCACACAAAAGAAATGAGTAAAACGTGACACATGAGCACGCTAGGGGAAAAGAATGAAAAACAGAGACTGGATGAACATGACAAAATAAACCTTCCTCTGCGCCACTTCCGGACACCTCGGTGAAATGCCTGATGGAACAGCACAGGGACAGCAAAGGGATGAAGCCACAAAGATCAAGAAACAAAATGGGAAGGGGGGGCTACAAAGATGAGCATTGTCAACAAAATAAAAAGCTTTTAGTGACTGGATGTGTGGTAACCGAACAAGTAGAGAAAACAGAAACCTTTTCTGGTGGCTTGAGAATCCATCCAAAAACTATTTGATATTTATCCCTTCAAGAGGTGAAGCCTAACTCTCCTCCCCGAGTATAGGCTGGACTTAGTGACTCGCTTCCACTGAATAAAGCAGACATGATGGTGTGTCTTCAGCAATTAGGTCAGAAAGCCGCTGCTGTCTCCTCCTTGCTTCCCTGGGTTGCTGCCTCTGGGAAGGCCAGCCGCCATGTTGGGAGGGCACCCAAGAAACCCATGGAGAATCCACAAGACCAGGAACTGAAGCCTCCTGCCCACGTCCATGTGAGCAGAAGCTGGTTTTCCAGCCTTGGTCAGGCCTTCGGGTGACTGCAGCCCCTACTATTATCTTGACTGCAACCTCGTGACACAGCCTGAGCCAGAACTGCCCAGCTAAGCCACTGCTGTATGCCAGACCCTTAGAAACTGTGAGAAACAATAAATGCTTGTTGTTTTAAGCTGTTAAGTTTTGGAGTGATTTTTTTTACTCACCTAGAGGCAACAAATAAACCCTTTGCAGCAAGGAGTTAAAGGGAAGCTGACAAGGAACACTGTAGATTTCTTCCAAAGAACCCCAGAAAGGCTCAGAACAAACAGACCAATGAAACAGAATAAAGACTCCTACCAATACAGAAATTTGATATGTAATAAAGGGAAAAACTTGGCTGGGTGCGGTGGCTCACGTCTATAATCCTAGCACTCTGGGAGACTGAGACGGGTGGACCGCTCCAGGTCAGGAGTTCAAAACCAGCCTGAGCAAGAGTGAGACCCCGTCTCTACTAACAATAGAAAGAAATTAATTGGCCAACTAAAATATATAGAAAAAATTAGCCAGGCATGGTGGTGCATGCCTGTAGTCCCAGCTATTTGGAAGGCTAAGGCAGGAGGATTGCTTGAGCCCAGGAGTTTGAGGTTGCTGTGAGCTAGGCTAACGCCACAGCATTCTAGCCTGGGCAACAGAGTGAGACTCTGTCTCTAAATAAATAAATAAGTGGGGAAACTTAAATTAGTGGATAAAACATTAACTATTCAGTAGTTAATGTGGTACCAATACAACTAGTAACCATTTGAGGAGATTAAGTTTGGTATCTTGTCTCACACCATTCACAAAAATAAATTCCGGATGAGGTATATATATGCAAGAAAAGTGAAAAAATATGTATACATAAAGACTTTTATATGGATGTTCATCACAGTATTATTAATAATAGAAAAGAATGGAAAAACTCAAATGTCCATCAACTGATGAAGAGATAAATAAAATGTCGTATACCTATATGATGGAATATTATCCTGTCTAAAAAAGAGTGAAGTTCTGATACACACTACATGAATAAACCTGGAACACATTATGCTAAGTGAAAGATGTGAGTCACAAAAGATCTTCATTTATCTGAAATGTCCAGAATAAGCCATCCACAGAGATAGAAAGTAGAGCAGTGGTTACCAGGGCCTGATGGGTATAGAGGGAATGGGTGGGGAGGTATAGTGATTGCTAATGAGTACAGGGTTTATTTTTTAGGTGGGGAAAATGTCCTAAAATTGATTGTGGTGATAGTTGCACAATTCTGTGACTATACTAAAAACCACTTTAAATAGGTGAATTGTATGGTATGTGAATTAAATCTGTTACCAATAAAACTGTTATAAAAAATAAGAGAAATAAATTCCAGATAGATTAAGGAACAACTAAAAAGAAAACAATAAAGAATTAAAAGAACTTCTTGAGACAAGGTCTCCTCTGTTGCCCACACTGGAATACAGTGGCCTGATCATAGCTTACTGTAACTTTGAACTCTTGGGATAAGGTGATCCTCCTGCCTCAGCCTCCCAAGGAGCTGGGACTACAGGTGCTATACCACGATGCCCAGCTAATTTACTTTCATTTTTTGTAGAGGCGTGTCTCACTATGTTGCTCATGCTGGTCTCAAACTCCTGGCCTCAAGCAATCTCCTGCGTTAGCCTCCAAAGCATTGGGATTACAGGTGTGAGCCACTGCACCCAACCTCAAGAACTTCTTTTAGCAAAATGCAAATGTCATAAAGCAAAAAAAACTGATGAATTTCTTAAAATTACAATTTTGAAGGTCCATAAAAGTTACGGACTTGATGAAGATATCACGGTGCAGGAACAACAGCCTCTGATGAGTTATGCATGGCCACTGCAGCCCAGCAGGAGTCCATAAACCCAGTACTGCTGGTTAAACAGAAGACTTCACTTGGGAACCAAAAACTTTAGCAAATAATTTCTCTGGACTTTGAGTCCCATATTTCTCCTGAAAAGTGTGGATCTTTGCCAGAAAAAAACAAAACAAAACAAAACAAAAACCATTTGTTCGTTTCCATTTGCCAAGCAATGAGCAAGATGATTCAGTAGAAATGTTATTTAATGACATGGTATGCCAGAAACCAGCAGCCAATTTTGAATTTTAACTTTTATTTTTAAGAGACTGAAATGGTCAAAATGCCCATGAATCAAGTTCTGATCAAGTTCTGAATCAAGTCTGATTAGCACTGTATTACTGTGCATTTCACCATACTTCTTTAAGTTCTCAGGTATGGTTTGGGCAGGGAGTTAATAATTATTAACCCTGTAAAAATAAATATAATAGAAATCAGGTGTGGTAGCTCACACCTGTAATCCCAGCACTTTGGGAGGCCAAGGTGGGAGGATCACTTGAGCCCAGGAGTTTGAGCTTACAGTGAACCATGATGACACCATTGCACTCCAGCCTGAGTGACAGAGCAAGACCCTGTCTCCAAAAATAAAAAAGATATCTAAGTGAATTAAAGTAGTCAAAGTTACCATAAACAAAGTTAAAAGAAAAGGAACTAACCAGGAGAAAACATGCAACATGTAAAATAGCAAAGATTTAATAGCTAAAAAATATAAAGAAGTCCTACAAATTAATTTTTTTAAATGACAAATATGCCAATAGAAAAAAAATGGGAAAAAACATAAATAGGCAATTCAAAAAAACGAAAATGTGAACATACAAAAAAAGATAACCTTATGGTAACCAAAAAAACACAAATTAAAATAAGACGTTACTTAAGGAGAAATTTTAAAAGATCAACACTACAGAGTCATACTGATATGGTTTACTCACACACTGTTTATCAGGGTATAAATCAGTAAAATCTTTTCAAATTATCTATTAAAATTTTAAACATGCATAGCTTATAGCCTGCAATTCTACTTTCTGGTATCTACCTAGAGAAGCACCCACCTGTGTGCATAGTCCTACGTAAGTGGACACGACTGTTCACGCTGGCATAAAACTGCAAACACCAAAATGTCCACTGATAAGCAGTGGACAAACTGCACTCTACTCATACAACAGAGAACCATGCAGCAGTGAAAAAGAACAAGTATGCATCAAAATGAAAAAATCTCCAAGAAACACTGTTAAATGAAAACAGGAATTAGGAAGCAGGAGAGGGGGATTTTAGTTAGGATGGCTAGGAAAGGCCCCGCTGAGGTGTCACTGGTGTAAAAAAAGATGGGGGTGGGGGAAAAGCATTCTAGGCAGAAGGAACAGCAAGTACAAAGGCCCTGAATGGGGACTGTGCTGAGGAATAGCACTAAGAAGGCAGCAAAGGCCTCAGCAACATTTCCTGGCCCCAGCAAGTTCAGGGATATTAACCAGTATAGTCTGTCTGTCCACTGCCTTATCAGCAGACATTTTGGTATTTCCAATTTTATGCCAGTGTGAACAGTCATGTACACTTGGCATTACTGTGCCAGATGCCAAGCGCTATGATCTGAATGTCTGTGACCTGCTCAAATTAATATATTGAAACTCTAACCCAGGGTCCTCAAACTTTTTAAACAGGGGGCCAGTTCACTGTCCCTCAGACCATTGGAGGGCCATTGGAGAGTGCGGCGCACATTCCACACATGTGCACTGTGGGCCCAGGATGAGTCAGCTGCTAAGCAGGACAGGCAGCGGCAGCAAAAACATGCCATGGGCCTCCGTAGCCCACAGGCCGTAGTTTGAGGACGCCTGCTCTAACACCATTGTGATGGTATTAGAGGATGGGGCCTCCGAGAGGTACTTGGGTCGTAGGGGTGGAGCCCCCATGATGGAATTAGTGCTCTTATAAAAGAGGTCCCTGGACTCCCTCCCCCCTTCTGCCATGTGATGACACACCAAGAAGGTGCCACCTATGGACCAGGAAGCAGATACTGGTGCCTCGATCTTAGACTTCCCAGCCTCCAGAACTGTGAGAAATGAATTTCTATTGTTTATAAGCCACCCAGTCTATGGCGTTCTGTTACAGCAGCCTGAACAGACGAAGGCACCAAGTAGCCCCTGACTCACCCCCTCACTGTGCTGCACCACAGTGCTGATATTATGCAGCGTGTGGAAGTTTTGGCTGTTGACAGAGCCAAACTCCACAATCTCATCATCCACTTGCAGACCCTAAAGAGAGAAGAGAAAACGGAGAATTAGGCTAGAGATTTAATGTGCTTCTGATGTTTTTTACCCTGCAATACTCAATTTGATGTCAAGGCCAAGAGTTTGTTTTCTACAGAGCAAGCTCAAAGCAGAGCTCAGAGATTTAGATACTTCATGCAGGAAGGGGCAGTGGATAATTGGGCCACCTCCTCCTGCTGGTCCCTTCTAGGGCAGATCTAGTAAAAATGGCCAGGTCTGCCCCATGTGTGACAGCTGATGGTTGTGGAGGCCTTGAGGAACGTGGGATAAGCCAAATGCTACTCTCTGAGGCCCTGGTCCAGGTTCAAGGGTAGGAAGAGCCAGGCCAGTCTGGCACCATTTTATTTGTCAGTCAAAACTGAGATAAGAGCCGGGCGCGGTGGCTCACGCCTGTAATCCTAGCACTCTGGGAGGCTGAGGCGGGCGGATTGCTCGAGGTCAGGAGTTCGAAACCAGCCTGAGCAAGAGCGAGACCCCGTCTCTACTATAAATAGAAAGAAATTAATTGGCCAACTGATATATATATATAAAATTAGCCGGGCATGGTGGTGCACGCCTGTTCTCCCAGCTACTCGGGAGGCTGAGGCAGCAGGATTGCTTGAGCCCAGGAGTTTGAGGTTGCTGTGAGCTACGCTGATGCCACGGCACTCACTCTAGCCTGGGCAACAAGCGAGATTCTGTCTCAAAAAAAAAAAAAACTGAGATAAGACAAACATTTGTCCAAGAAGCCCCCAAATGAGTAGCCACAGGCACAAGGCTGACCCAAACTGGAGTGACCCTTTCATTCTAGGTCCTAAGGAGGACACAGACCACCACTCATTCATCCCTTTAACAAGTATTTGTCGTGGGCCAACTAGCACTGTGCTAGATGTTGTGGACACAGTAGTGAATAAAACAGAGTTTATGTGTAACTTACAGTCTTGTGATTATTAAAGAAGTATTCCTGAGACCTGAAAGGTGACCAGAAGGAAGGTACTATTCAGCTGAATCATGGCATGAACTTCAAATGCCACCAGCATTGGTGTCATGCAAATGAGTGATATGGGGCGTAGAGGTACACTTGCTAATCTTAGAAGAAAAAGAGATAAGATTAACAATGGCTCTAACACCTCAGCTAATGACAGACGAAGCAAGAGCGAACCTTGCTATTGGGGTCCTTGCCAACTGCTTGGAGTCTTGTGAGGGAGCAGCCAGTGGGCTCACCAAATCTTTGATTGTTCTAGAATAAGCTGAAAATTGGGAGCCACTGAGTGGTATCTTCTGATTTTCAGTATCTACAGCTAATTCAAAATGTTGTGAATCGCCATGCCGGTTGAAACAAAATCATGTATGGCAGGCCAGGCACGGTGGACAGCAGCTAGCAATTTGATAACTTTCTTCTTTTTTCTTTTAGCTAAAAATCAACTTTCTCGCTACTGCCTCTGGAGTCTCATTATCTTTTCTAGCTGGGTCACTCACAGAGAATCCCCTCTGAAGGATCTTTCCAAGGTAAAACCCTAGTTAGATCCATGTCTGTGAGCTTACAGGCACAGACTTTCTAACTTTCCAAGGCCTTCACCATGTGACCTGGCTGGGGCTACCTGACCTGGCCTCTCCTCGGCCCGGCTCAGCTTTTGGCTGCATTAGATGAGGCCCTTCAGGCTATAAACGGGACTCAAAGACTACAACCCACAGAGCATGACACAAAAGACAAGATGTTATCATTATTGAATAAGAGGTTGACAGTGATTTAAGCTAGATGGAAGGACAGACTTTAATATATGCTGTCAGGTTAGATAGCATTGTGATAACTGCTCTGGACTAGAAAAGCAACGTGTCCGCATGAAAGCGTCCACAAGGGTCTCCTAGACTGCTTCCGAGCAATGCCTGGCACCATTGTAAGGACTCAATCAAGTATAGAGCCATTCGGTAATGGAGAGAATAACTTTATTGCGTGATATGATACTGATAATTTGCTGAATTAAAAATTCAAAGTTTTGTTTCAGATGAAATCGTTTCAGGCAGGATATTTCAAAACCCAAATTGCAATTGTGACAGGGGTGGGGGTAGTGTACCCGGATACTAATGTAAGCTGTTAACAATAGGAGGAAACTGGGTACGAGCAGTATAAAGGGACCTCTCTGTATTCATTTTCCTGAATTTTTATGTAAATCTGTAAACTGTTCTAAAAAATAAAGTGCACTTTTTATAAATAAAATAAGACTTATCAATATTTTTCAAAGCAGACCAATAAGAAAATTGTTCAACCAGATTCTTAAGTGTGATATAAGTATATAAGGCCTGCGGCATGGTGGCTCACGCCTGTAATCCTAGCACTCTGGGAGGCTGAGGCTGGGGATTGCTCGAGGTCAGGAGTTCGAAACCAGCCTGAGCAAGAGCAGACCCGTCTCTACTATAAATAGAAAGAAAATAATTGGCAACTAATATATATAAAAATTAGCCGGCATTGGTGTGCATGCCTGTAGTCCCAGCTACTTGGGAGGCTGAGGCAGAGGATTGCTTGACCCAGGAGTTTGAGGTTGCTGTGAGCTAGCTGAGCCACGGCACTCACTCTAGCCTGGGCAAAAGCGAGACTCTGTCTCAAAATGAATCACCCAACAATAAGATCATTAATGATGATGGGATATTAGCATACCAAAGAACATAAAAAACCCAGAAATAGTCTAAGCATGCATTCAAAACTCAATACAACAATGTGTGTCTCGCATTTCAAATTAAGGGGGAAAGAATGGACTATTAAATAAATGGGTTGGAACGTCAAGCTAACCATTTTGAGAACACAAAAGCCAGTGCCCTGCCCTGCCACTGTAAGATGGCGCTTCTCAAATTTCACCAGAGTCCTCACTGCAGGACCAGTGGGCTGCATCCCTGGAGAGTCTAGAGGTTTAGCCAAAAGCCCCAAATTTCCCTCAAGCATGACTATCTTAACATGGTTTTCCCCTACTCCGATTCTTCCTATTTGTTTTAACATAAAAATGAATGCTTCCTTTCCCAAAATCTTCAAGGAAACGTGATGCTCTGAGAAGTTGTCCCCAGTTGCGAAGCAGGCCTTACATCGCAAACATGCTGGCAGATGGAGTCAAGATTGAGAAAGATTAAACAGAAGTTGTTAAGTGAAAAATGCAGGTAATAAATTCCTTCCCTTTGTGCTAGAAACTGCTGGTAAGGTGATCATGGCGCCCAAAGACGTTCCCACCTGTCCCTAGAACCTGTGAAATATTGGCACAAGGACTCTGCAGATGTCGATCCAGTGAAGACCTTTGAGATAGAGAGATGATCTTGGATTATCCAGCGTGGGCTCAATGTCATCACAGGATCCTTTTATAGTGAAAGAGAGAAGCAGGAGAGGAAAGCAAGAGCTCTGACAGCAGAAAGCAGAGGCTGGAGAGATGCAGAAGTTGGAAAAGGCAAGGAAACAGGTAGCGTTCTTCCCCTAGAGCCTCCAGAATGAACCAGCCCTTGCTGACACCTTGATTTAACCCAGTGAGATTCTCCCCTCCAAGAACTGTTAGATAATAGAATGTATGTTGTTTAAGCCACTGAAGTCTGTGTTCATTTATTTATGCAGAAACAGAAACGAATATACGTACCCAACCTTTACTCTTGCTAGTGTCCTTTAGTTAAAAACAAATAAACACATAAAAGATTTAGGAGAGCAACATGCCTGCAGTGAGTATGTTCCCTATGTATTTTTGCAAGTAGAGGGGCCTAAGAGGGGAAACAGCAGAAATTCCTGGGCGCAGTGGCTCACACCTATAATCACAACACTTTGGGAGGCAGAGGTAGGTAGATCATTTGAGCCTAAGAGCTGGAGACCAGCCTGGGCAATATAGCAAGACCTGTCTATACAAAAAATAGAAAAGTTATCTGGGCATGGTGCGTAATCCCGATCCCAGCTAGTGCTAGGAGGCAATGGCGCAGGGGATACACTGGTGCCCAGGAGTTTGAGGCCTGCAGTGTGCCCTATGATGACACCACTGCACTCCAGCCTGGGTAACAAATGAGACCCTGCCAAAAAAAAAAAAAAAAAAGAAAAGAGAGAGAAGGAGGAAGAGAAGAGAAAGGAAGAAACCAGAATTATAGAAATCCCAGAGTCTAGCCCATTCCTTGGTTCTCAGTCTCTTGATGTGGAAAGTAATCCCATCAATTGAAAAGATGCAGTTTACATCAACCATTGGTGGACATTATTCCTTTAATGCCCCACGTGTGTAGGGCCTGCCCAACAGGGCCACTCACAGATGTGTTGTGCCTGGCAGTGCGGACTTGTACAGGTCCACATCTGGACCGGTAGGCTTCAGAGTCCACCAGTGGTCGATTTCATCCCAATTCCTCGTCTGTTAATAACATTATACATCTCACAGTATTACGCCTCAAGTGCTTTCCCCAACCCTCTTTCCAATCATAAAAAGTATAATAGAAATCCATCATGTCTGATCCTTAATACAGACGCGCTCTACCCCATGTCACTACCTTCTGAAATGGGCACTATTTTTTTAAATTATTTTAATACACAGTATATTATATGATTATAATCTCCTTTTGAAATCTGCTTGTGCAAAAAACATGACTCTATAGTTTCACCCCAAGGTCCATCTCTTCTTCAGGTCTCCAAACCTCCCTCCATGCGCGTGACACTGTGCTGGTTCCTTTAGCCGAGGGAGTGAAAACCCAAGAACACCAGCTGTGGCAAGGGTTTGAGTCTCTGAAAATTAAAGATCTAAAGGCGTGCTTTCAAAGAAGCTCTTCATCCCTAGGATACGCTGATACCACTTGTTGCCTCTGGGGAAGACGAGTGGCTGGGGACAAGGCGAGAGACTTTTCACTTTACATCTTTTGTAAGTTCTTCAACTTTGACCATGGAATGTGTTCCCTATTTGAAAACAAACATTTGTTTTAACTTAACATTTTAAAGACATAAGTCAGATGATGTACATTAAAAGCAAGGCAATATGTTGAATGGTATAGGGCAGGGGTTTTGCAGGTGG